CAAAATGGTATAAGTTTGGACTGAGACTAGGACTGAGGAAGAATACACTGGACGTCATTGAAGCAAAGCATCGTGGTGATGTGCCTCGCTGTATGACAGAGTGCCTCTCCCAATGGTTAGGTAGAGCTGATAATGTTGACAGTAGAGGAGGAGCCAACTTGAGCTCACTGTCAGATGCTCTACTATCTGTGAATGAAACTGCTGTAGCTGAGAAGTTAAGTGAGTCAACCATAACTACATGTAGCTATAATCATTGTATATTTTTTATCATAGAATATCATGTTCTTATTAATATTTTTAATAATCGTCATACTAGTCCTGTCACAGTCTCTTTGTGATTCTATTGGTATTGCTTGGTTACTTTATGCTGAACGTATGTTAAGACAAGAAGCAGTTAGTAGAGTGGTGTCAGCTAGTCCCTCTATTCCTAATCAACGTGAGGCTCTATTAACTGGTGTCAAAGAAGCTGTTCAAACTGATCCCAACAGTTTACATACATTTGCTAATGTATCGTGTACAATCAGTACTAATGTATCACTGGGACAAACTATACTGGATGATATTAGTGAGTATCATAATGTAACTGATCATTGATTGTATCTTTTAAAATGGGTTGTCAAGGGTCAAACTAATTAAATTTCTAGTTGATTTCTTTTACATAGATAAGGCTGATGTGGGTGGCCACTGGCCAGTATTAATCATTATTGTTAATATTAATTACCGTATAGCGCAAAATTTTTGAGTGCTCTAAATTTTGCGAATTTGCCTAAAAATCTATTTTGCAGATTTAATTTTCACAAATTATACTGTCCGCCATCTTGTGTCCTGATAATTTTGATTTTCGTGGAAGTAATTTTCATGATTCTGCAAAAAAATCGCAAAATCCACGAAATTTATAGCCCTCGAAAATTTTGCGCTATACAGTATGTGTTTTGTCAATGAATATATTCTATTATGGGGTGATAGACAGTATATTTATAACTATTAATAATGACAATTTTTGTTTATTATGTGTTTAGGTAAATATTTTCCTACTCCTGAAGTGGGTGTGGTTCCTGAGACTATTAAAGATCATGATATAGTTCTACAAGGTAATAATTATTAATTATTTGATGATACATTAATTAATATTTATAGATAATTCAAGTACTGCCAATGAAACCGATGCAGCTCAATCTGGTATGTACCGTATATTGGGTATATTTCAATGCATGGAAAGTGGTGTAAATGTAAAGTTCAATGATGGATAAATTCGGAAGCCCTTTATATTCCAAAAATATTTTACTTGCTATTATTTCCATGAACCACCTGGCCTGGTAAGTAAATAGAAGCATTTGCTGACTTTTCCACTTTTGAATCAACCTTAGCAACACTTCTGACTGGCAAAGAAGGCTCTTTATGGCCTTCGAGTTAGAAGCCATGAAGCCATGGATAGTTAAAAAGTCATGTGTTCATATTAATTGCACAATACCACATATCTTCTATTTCTTTTTATCCGCATGTTTTAAAATTTCATAATACATGTATTTATTTTCGCAATGAATTGCTTTTTCCAAAATTATTAATACATTAAAATGTACCCGATATACAGTATTACATGTCACTATAAATGTATAAGCGGTTCATTTATTGTCCTTTTCTTTTGTAGGTACATGTAGTACTGCTGATACTGAAGTTACTAGTAATTCATCTTCACAACCATTATCACCTCAAAGTAATATTAATTATATAACTGCTATTAATGAAAGTATTTATAGTTGAAGTACCTGTTCCTCAACATTTATTTGTGGAGTATAGCTCAATAAAAGCTTCTTACACAAGAATGTTGTATAACGTTTGCAAGTTTTTAAAGAAGAAATTGGACCTGGATGACATCAAGGAGTTCCTGTCTTGTTACAGCACTTCTCTCAGTAAAAAAGTAGAGCAGTGTTCAGATGTTTCCAGCATCCTTCGTCATGTTAAAGATGAGTGTTCACTGACTAACATTGAACTACTTCGTAGTGTAGTGGAGGAAATGGAGATTACCGAAGCAAAGGAACACATTGAGACATATAGAGCAGAGTTGAAGGAATTTTACAAATCAATCTCAGTTAGTCTTTGTCTGAACAAAAGATTTGACTCTGTTTCTCATCTTCAATGTGAAACAGTCACTTTTATCTTTGACTGGAAGCCTGAGGAACATGTACTGCAGGATATCAAGGGCATTTTATCAAAAGTGTCCGGTAAATTGCTGATCATTAAGTTTATAGGATCCTCCACTTCAATATTTGTCAGTTGCTCCTTTCCTTTCTCTGATGTTGGGTTTACTGTATTGAGGATGATAGAGAATTTTCATATACTAATGGGACAAGGAATAAAGAAACTGACTATTGGTAACTTAACATTATGGAGGAGACAAGATGTTAGACAAAAGGTACATAATATGAATAATTGAACATTGTTTT